ATCATACAAGCCTCTTTACCCCAACAGTTTAATGAAAAATGTGAGCATGTGCCTGGATGTGAGTTTGCTTCACACTTGTCACATTTTCACTTTTTTATATCCCAAGGCATAGTGTTCATTTAGGGTAAGGATCTATCATTATATACATATTGATTACCTTAACATGTTCAGGCTCTTTTGGCTGACTTCATGTTCGATCWGAATAGATCATTATTTTTTTGTTAGTTGTTTGTTGTGTATTTGGTTTAATTACATAATCCAGAGGGGAAAATTTCCTCTTTGCTATTTGCATGGTTTGCTTTTGCTAATTTTAGAAGCATCACCTTCAATCCATTTTATCTCTGTGGGATACGTTTCTCTTAAACTATCCTACCTTTAAAACTAGGAAGCATAACTTATTAATATACTTACCCAGGAGCCCATAAACTTCAAGAGATGGCAAAGTACCCATTGGAGACATGACGGAAGGCCAGTGTCCCTAAGCAGCCCCTCAGAATTACAGGATGATCCAACCTGTCTCAGGTACTTTAAGGACCTGATGTATCATGTGACCACCTGAAGAAAACCATGTCATYCCATGCATTAAGTAATTAGCAAAGCTTAACTTTGTTCTCCTTTTTTGGAGCTGATAAACCAGCAGGAATTTTCTGTTGTATTTTCACATTCTGCAATGGCCCTCCTTGCCCACCGCTTGGACACCATTTCTCCTGAGGAGTCTGCTTCAGTGATGGTTGCTCTTGTGGGTCCTGTTTGTGCAGGCAGTTGTGTGAGATCCTCTTTGTCCCTCTTTGACAATTTTTCTCTCACAGGGACATAAAATAACATGTTGGTGAGTTGTCCAGCATATATTATTGCTGAAATTGAGGCTTTCGGTGGAATGAGAGGGCGAGGGCTGCATCTTTGTGGTCACAGTAGCTCTAGGAACTTGATTATACCTTTGCCTATGGCACATAACTCATGTGGCTATTTTCTCCATAAACTGTGCATAAAAATAGACTAATAAATGGAACCCTTGGAAATTGAACCAATTGCTATAGCTGTAGTATGTACTTTTGGTTATTCACGTGTATCACTGCATGCTAATAGTACATATGAAATGCTATTTTCATTCATTCTTCATCCAAGTCATTAATAGGTTTTTATTAAAACCTCTGCATTTTCATTGGAAAATTAATATGCCCTCACAATAGAAAAATTAGCAAATAATAAAATGTTGAAAATTAAGTATTCCAATTACCATAAAATACAATATACTTATCATTTTGTTGTATTCTTGCTCATATGCTTTGTACAGTACTTTTACTCTGTCATGCTCGTGTTATGTACACTTAGGTTTTACACAAAGCTTTATGATAYTTGGGATTTATGTTTAAGTTAGAGGTCTGGAAAGTGCAGCTCCCTGGTCAAAGTTGTGGATTGTTTTAAGGTTTTGTTGTAATTGCCATCTAGGGTTTTCATGTTATTGTGGTTTTTCACTCTTACCAGCAATGTATGAATTACTGGATATTTTATTACCCCCTTGGTAGCATTCATTCAACAAATACTTAATGCACAGTTCCTATTCATTCAGACTCTGGAGATGTAATGATGAAAAACATTACACATTTCAACTTTCTCCATGAAATTTACACTCCAGTTTGTGAGGCAGCTGTTAATCATACAATTACACAAATAGGTATTACGATCACGAGTTGTAAAGCAAAATACTCACATCTGTTCAATAGCAGAGATGGGTACATGGAGGCAAATTGTTTGCTTTCTGTACTTGTTAATGTACTTAGAAGGTTTCAAAGTTAAATAATTTCTGATGTGTAAAAAATAAGTTAAACTTATGATGAACTGGCCATAAAAGCACCCAGCGGAAGAAYATGCCCTTGTCAGAGGGGTCACAACATGTCCCCGTGGAAGTGAAGTATTGGTGCACCCAGACTTGGATAAGAGGAAAAGGAGTTTACTAGGTGCATGCTGGGGGGTGCTGGCCTGCACAGGAGTGCACGGAACACTTATGTGCAGGTAGACAYTCTGGAGATAGTGAGGATAAATTATGGGATGCTTGCAGGCAACCACAGGGACCCAGGTGAGGCTTCATGGAGGGGATGGGTGTGGCAGTCAGAGACCAGGCCAGCAGAAAAGATGGGGCCTGATCGCTGGGGGACATCTGCATACGTCATGGGCAGTGAAGAGTCACTGTGTATTTCCAGATCTGATGGAGCACAATAGGCAGGTGCAGGTGGGAAGAGCACCACAGAGAGGTAATGAGAGGCTGGCCCTGAGAACAGGAAAATGGAGAAGAGGGAGGGCTACTGTAAGAAGCATCTGTAGGGGACAGCAACTCATCAGGTGTGGTTAAAAACCAGCATGACCTTCAAGGGACTGACACYGTTAACATAAATAGTACGATCAGGAGTAGAGTTGGTCTTGGCTGGAGGTGGTGGAAGGGGGGGAGTGCAGATGCTAGTGGAGGAAGCTGTAAACTTACAGTAATCAAGCTTCAGGTTTGGTGAGGGTTCCAGGGGATGCAGATTTATTGGTAATGCAGCCAATAACAAAGTGGAGGGGACCTGATTTTTAGGAACTTTAATCCTTTTTAATCTTTGCACTATGATTTTATATCCCACATTCACCTCTGGGTACGTAGGATCGGAGTACAGGCGTGGCTACGGCTCTCTTTGAAAGAGTGGAGTTTCTGTTTTACTTATTTTATTTTTATTTTTTAAATTTATTTTATCAGATTGGCTTCCATTTATCTTAGGTTATTAAGRGGTTTTGGTTTAATCCTTCAGTCTGTGGAGGCCACATTCTATGGGCAGGGCCCAGAGGTGGGTGTTCACGTTCACCCTCCAGCCCAGCTCTTCTGAGTGCTGTGCCCTCTGTCTGGTTACTTAATTTCTCATTCTCGGAATCCAGAATGGAGGTGTGGTGAGGATTCCACGAGTCAACCACGGAATATTCTTAGATCAATGTGTGACCCCCAAAAGAACTCAATCTCGTTGTGATTTTTACAAACAAAAATGCAAAGCTTAGTGGAACTAGATAAATCAAAATTAATCTGCTTTTCTCATGTAATTAAAGGAAAGCTCAAAACACTTTTGCTTTATTTTTAGTTTCTTAACAAATGAGGCCTGGCCCAAACGTGCTCTCTGTGTAACGTAGGGCATCTATGAGCAGGTCCGCACCGCATCTTCTTACTGCCTAGCCTGATCAAGTAACTCTGGAAGACTTATGAGCAAAAATATAGGATTATTTAAAAATAAGTGATGTCAGAACCTAAAGGTTCAACAGAAAAATCATCAGCCTCTTAAGTCCTCTGTGTTCCATGGCAATCAAGAAATTCTCTCCTACCTTTTTACTTTTGGTCTCWTTCTTGCTACCTATTTTCAGAAAAGACAATAAATAAGACAGAGCAAAAATCAGAAAAGAAGTCTTCAGTAGACAGAGTTTATAGCCACTCAAATCCGGCTGGGTAAGATGTAGTAGTAACAATTTTTCACTAATGTTCATGTTAGAATTAAGTGATTTTGAAGTTATATAGTACAGAATGAGGAACACATGTAACTCAAACCTATTACACACTGAGGTATTTTCTTTTATCATCCTAGTCTTAAAAGCATCTATATCCTGACATGTGTGTTCAGGTTGCTGTGATGTGGTGCTGCTTGAGCATTATTTTCCAGAGGTTCTTTCCAATTTCATACGATCAATGAAGCAAATGTGTATCATGCATAGAAACAGTTATTGGATCGTGTTTCATTTCCCAAAGTCTCACCAAAGCCTGAGGCTGTTCTATTTGGGGGCAGCTATGCATTTTTTTTTTGCATGTATATTGCTGGTGTCCCCTTGTTGTGTGTCTGCTGCTTCTCTGTGGATCACAAGAGGCTGGTTTCACCCTTCAGGAGTGTCCTGCTGTTTGACAGTCCGATCACATTTGCATATCCCATCTAGCTATTGTAGAGAGAAGCCAGTTGCTATGGTGAGGATTATGATGTTCCACACCAAATCTAGTCCTGAGAAATCTAGGCCTTTGAAAAACCACATGCAAATATTTATTCTCAAAGATACAGTGGCCCTTTGGGAGGCAATGGATTACTAGCCTGGTTACTTTTTCTGTGAATCATCAAATGAGAAGTTCAAGACTTGTGATTTCCCTTTTTGTGAATCTAAATTTCCACTGCCCTCTACAAAACTATATATTTTGATCAAGAGTCAGATTCTGTTTTGTAGAACTTTACTGTCTCTTTTGGTTAGGTACATAGATAGGTTTATCTGTCTAATTTGTCCAGAATATTGCTGTAGCACTGACCTCCCTGTGTAGGTTGGTGCAGTTGGTTTTGTATTGTTTTGGTGTGTGTGTGTTTGGTGCTGGGGACTGAACCAGGGATTGAACCAGGGAGCTGCTCGTGATAAGCACCTGCTCTGTCACTGAGCCACACCTGCCCTCCCACGTAGCTTTGCTTGTGCTTCATCTCAGTTTACAGGTACAGTGTTCCATTCTCCTTTGCAAGTGTCTGGCCACCACAGATCCCTCCATGCATGGAGGGCAACCCTGGATAAAAGGGGATGTTCTCTAAACTGGGAATTTTTCTAAGAATGTGTATTAAGCATTAGCATAAATTTTTAAAAGAATACATGTTTATCACATTTGGGGACTATTTGTCATTTTAAGTAAAAGGAAAAACTCCATTTAAAAGCCTTTTAAAAAAGTTTCTTAGAGTTACAGCTTTGCAAAATCCCTGCCATCTTGAATGATAATATTAAGTTACATTGTAATTTAAAGCAATAATTAATACCTTCATTAGTTTAATAGTTTAAGGAATAAATTAAACACAAATATATTAGTTTCATAAAATGCCATATTTTCTTTACCTTCTATGATTCATACTTCTAGACATAGAATAAATATGCTACTGTTATATAGAATGTCCTGTTATTACTGAAAAAGAAACAGAAAACAGTCTCCCTTGCCACGTGGTGAGGCTCATGACCCTCTGTTTGCCTTTCAGATCCCCAGCTCAAGGGTATAGTGACCAGGTTGTATTGCAGGCAAGGCTACTACTTGCAAATGCACCCCGATGGAGCTCTCGACGGAACCAAGGACGACAGCACTAATTCTAGTAAGTGACCACGCAGGCCACCAGCCAGCACGGTTGGGAGAAGATGCACTGCTGCTTCCGTGACATTTTAGAGCTTCCTTTGCAAAAGTTTGGTTAGTTGGTTCAGTTTTACAAATGTTACACACTAGAGTGCCAGTATAATCTTACTAAAGCCACACGGATAAAAATACTAATGCAGAAACAAACGAAATCTGAGACTTTAAGGTAATTGTAAGATGATAATCTCAGGTTTTTCACAGTTTTCCAGACTCTGGAAGTTACTGTTACTTTTAATTTTATTATCACAATAGCCAAGTAAGTACACTAGTGTATTAAGATGAAAACTGAGTATGTGTTTCCTCTGAATATACTATTTTATGAGGCCTGCAGCTTCTCAATGATACCTATGGAAAATTCAAGAGCTATAAGGATTAAGTTGTTGTAAATGATAGAAATATAATTTTTCAGATTCTTTGCATTTAACAAGAACTCTTCCTTATGAAGAGGACATGTAGGCTGTATACCTCTAAACATATTGAATCAAATTTTAACCACTTCATGGTATTGGGTCCATCATTTTACTAAAAATCTCCCTAGTTTCCATTGTAATCGTGTCTGTCCTCCTTTTGCTATTTTACTATTTCTTTGTATTTATCTTGTCCTGGTATGTTGTGCCTTCTTACTCAAATGCGTTTTCCTTTCCCATATTCTGTTTATACTGACTCCCTCTGACACACCTCTTACTGCTCATGATAGTGAAAAGTAAAAACTGTTATATTAGAAATATTTCATCGTAGAAAATGTTACTAGGTAGGAGTCGATGTGCGTCTCACCACCCATTCATCATTAGTTCTTCAYCTATGGAAGAACATCATTCTATTACAGGGAATTGGCATAGACAGCATCAGATGACAGGCACTTCATTTTTTAAAATATACTAATAATTTAAATAATTTACCCTAAATAATTGTATTCAGTAACACTCATTCTGAAAGAAGCTCATGATATAAAATAGGCTAATTTTTATGTTTGTTGTTTCTACTTGAAATATGAATATTTTTTCAACCATTATGTTTACTATTTTAGGTTTTGGCCATCTCTTCACTTTTATTTTTCTCCAACTTYTTTTTGATTTAACTTTGTCTCCATTTTCCTTCTTTCAAATTTCAGATTTTTTTCTCTTTATGTCCATTCTATATCCTGTTTTAAAAAAAAATATTTGTTCTGTGCTTTATTATTACTTTATTTATTTTTCTTTTTAAATTTAGGAAAAGGAAAAGTAAAAATCCAGGCACAGGGAAGCTTTTAATTCATAAGAGCTTTGTCAGAAAACGTTGTTCACTTGTTAAGATTTTATCAGTAGATGGGACCTTTGAAGATGATCAATACTTCCTGTCTTTGACCCAGAAAAGACAGCAGGTTTTTGTGGTCAAGTTCGTGCATATGTGTCTGCTCCTTTCCTTTCCCATCTGTAACTCTGTACCCATTCTTCCACCAAGAGGCATTTGCTCTGGTTCATGTTTTACAGYGTTGTGGGTCATGGAGCTTAGGGATTTGTGAGTTTCTATGTCCTCACTGTTCTCTGGCTGTCCTTGCCCAGAGTCTAATAAAACATAAGATCTTGTTCTCCATAACTGCACTCACTTTCTGAGCTATGATGTTTTGAGTGATGTCATCCATTTTATGACAAGAGTTTTCAACAAAGAAAATGAACCAGAGCTATAGAAAAATGCTGCTTCATTGGTCTGCTTGGAAAAATAATTTTCTTCAGGACAAAAGTTTTATGAATTTTCCCCCAGCTTCTTTCTCTTTTAGAAGAGAGGTGTTTGGGGAGGCAGTAACACCAAATTGTTGACCCCTAATGATGAGAATCAATATCACTTTGAGATGTGTCAAGTAGACATTGTCTTTAAAGAGCATATTGATTGGGAATTGAATAAGCAGCACTGTCATTTCAGAATTGGGAATGTGCTGATGGAGATAGCATAGACATGCACATGCAGTTGTAGACCGTGAGACACAGAGTTGGAAAGAYGAGATAATCATAGATGCTGCCTTCTGCTCTCTCAATGCCTGTGGCTTTTCTTTCTGCATGAAATCTGCCCTCGATGGAGCAAGAAACACTAGGTCACTTCTGAAAACTCCTCTGCTGGGAACAGTCCTAAGAAAGACAGGACAGGAGGTCCAGAGAAAACACACCAGAGCCAAATCAAGGGCCCCCGCTCAAGGAAGTTCAATTCCTATGCAAAGACCTGGCCCATCACTCCCTTTGCTGTATTTTATGTGCACTGTAATCCAGTTAGGTTAGCTGTGTTATCATTTCAACATTTGCAAAGACTTAAAGGAGGTAAGATAAAGATTCTCTCCTTAAAAGGCTATTCAAGATTTATGATTACAAAATTTAATAAAAATTGGCAGGATTATAGTAGATTTATAAAAGCAATGGGAATTACCAATTAACTCTCCTTTTGTGCACTATCACGTTTCAAAATTGAACACCACCATTTCTAGGATGAATTTTAAAATTGTCAGAGACTTCAGAGAAATTGTTAGCATTGAAAAGAATTTTTTAAAAAATAAGTATGTGCACTAGAAATGCTGACACCTCCATACAGATATAACACTTAAGCTGAGAGTTTTTTCTCATGGAGTCTCTTAAGTACAAGCCAATGTACAGCTGCTAATGGGAGCACAGCCTGCTTGGTTTCAGGAGGGGGGTRATGCAGTGATTCATAATCATGTTTTCAGTTTTTGATGATTCTGAACATAAACCAAGGACGTCATCCATAAACAGAAAAAATAATGAGAAATAACCTAAAACCCACCCAGATATGTCCCTRAAAGTCAACAAATGAAAAACTAAGGGCTTGAACCTTGAAATCTTTATGATTTGAGTTCAAAACATTTTCTACTAAATATAGAATTATTTGGAAAGAAAAATCAGAACCTGCCTGCTAAGGTGCTTCTGTAATTTCAGATGAGAAGAGGCAAAGGGGCTCCTGGATGGTGCATCCCCACGCCCCTGTCCTCCCAGGGTTCCACCCTGAGACCCAGAGGTCTCTAGAAAGGAAAAATGGGAGAAAGTCATTGATGACGGGTATATGGCCCTATAGGGAAGATGCCGTAGCAAAGACTGCTTGTCATTTGAATGTGAGCATTCAGGTGCCTACATGGCCACAGTCCTAGAGGTGTATCCCTGCAAAACTACCAAATGTCAGTATGACCACACACCCTGTATTTTATTTTATTTTTGCTTTAATCTCAGTATTATCTTTTTTATTGATTTTTTT